GAAACTTGAAGACTTAAATTTATGTTTATCAGGGCAAAGCGTGCTTCGACTTCAGTCTGCTCATGTGTAGTTTTGATTCTGGAATTTGGGCATACGGTACTTACAAACACCAGCAGTTTGCTACCTATTTACTGTGAAGGAGATGCTGCTTTGAAACATTTTGGGCTTTTGTCTTTTGTAGACTTGACTAATGTCACCGCACTTCATTTTGCACTCTGACTTAAGATAAATTTGTTGCTACATGGAAATTCAGCTTTATTCCTGAATTTCACTCCTCATCAGCTTTACAATGAGTCTTCATTTAGTTGATGTGAAGAGGATAAGGAAGAGCTATCAAAGTAACAGTAAAATCTCTAAGTGTCTACCTTCAGTTTCTTTTATATCGCAAGTTGCTTCCCTGATCTTCAGAAACTGGTCAGTTACCCTAGCGTAAGCTAAAGGGTGGTGGTGGGAACAAGCAGCTGCAGGCCAGCCTGCCTCTTTCAGAAGCAGCTTTGAATTATGCTGGGTTAGTGCCTGTCAAACCAGGGCTCTGGGATGTGGTTTGACAAGATAGGTGCTGCTGAAAAGAATAGTCCTACTCTCCTCAGTTGCCTGAGTGTTTTTGCTTTCTTCTTTCCTGGCACCGATTAGCTGGTTCGGGATGCTAAGCTGGCCAAAAAAAAAACAAACAAACAAACAAACAAAAAACCTTAACTGTTTTGCAGGCCTAGGTATGTGGTTTTGTTTTGAGTTTTTCTTTTTTTTCCCCCTTCCTTTTTCCTTATGAGTTAGCTGCCTGAGCTGGTTAGCTGGGGGAATCTAACAAACACCAGTGTAGCATGAGGAAGGAAACAGGGGTGATGCAAGGCAGACGTGGGACTGTGCCTTTTGGCAGAAAGCAGCTATCAGCAGCTATTAGCAGCTATCAGCTTAGCTGTCAAACTGCTTCTTGAGCCTCTGACAAGTCGTTTCTCATAGACTAATAACCTCAATCTTTAATGAGGGTGATTTGGGCTTTTTTGTTTTGGGGTTTGTGTTTTTGCTGCTTTCTGAAAGAGATGAGGCTTACCTGATCACACTGTCTCTCCATCTAGCTCATATAATAACTTTTGAACGCTGATAGTCAATTTTGGTAAAAACCTAGTAGAAGAATAGGCTCTGGAATGTAAGAATTTCCCAATGTTTTGAAACCTTCTAGAGAAGAGAGAGAAATTTTCCTAAAAAGAGAAAGACTGGAGTGACAGAACTGTGTGTCTGTTCCATTTATTTGCTACCTGGTTAAGTATTGGAATGAGGTAATATGAAAAGCTATGGTGAAAACTCAGGCTATGTGGTGTTGGAATAATCTCTGTAAATTCCTGTTTTGAGAAAGCAGAGCTCACAAATTTAGGAAGGAATTGAATGTGGAAACAGATTGTTCCTATATATTGAGCTTAGGGGTAGAATTCAGAGTGACTAAGTATTGATGGCCTGTTAATAATAAATGTATAGGTAGGCAGATACTCCATTTGGAGACTGGGAAGACTTTAATTTGAAAAGATTTTAAGCACGTGAATCGGCAAGAGTAACAGATTCATATGGGAAAAGAAACAGAGTTCTTGAAATGAAATCTGTTATACCAGTCATGATACTGGTTTATTCATATGCTATGTGTTTATAAAAGTTTGATTCTCAAAGCAACCTAGTAATTTTAATAGAACATCCAAGTATACATTTTATTTTTTATGACTTCTTGTGTGTGGGAGGTCTTTTTGAACTGGAAATTCTGAGAAGAGAATTTTTGGAGACAGGAAACATACTATATGTTTTCCTTTGGAGATCTTAATAGGAGCTCTGGATTGGTTTTCACAAATGCTTTTTATAAGTAAATTATTTTTATTTTAAAGTGAAATGAAGTAATGCACAAAATTATCTCAAACTAGAATCTGAAAGTTTGCAAGTTACATTTAAATGAGCTATTCTTTTATGTAGTTTTGAGCTACTCCAACAATAGAACAATCGGCAATGATGGGAGAGACCAGGTTCTCCTCCCCCTCCCCCCCCACACTTTCACTTTGAAGGAAGTGAAAATAAGCCTGGCATTCATGAGAACTTTTAATTCATTTGGGTGAGAGAGTGAGGACAGTTGTGGTAAGGAGAAAATATGTTGGTTTTTCTGTGTTTTCTAAGCTCCTTTTCTGTGTTTTCTAAGCTCTGTGGTTTCTAAGCTAACCAGGATTACTTTTATTTACATAATAAGCAAAGCTAGGAGCTTGTTTTAAGCAAATAATGAGGCCTGAGCTGGTGGAAAAATGAATTTTCAGTGGCTTTCTGGAAATAAGTCTAGTCTTGTTTGACCTACATAATTCTGTATGGTAACCTGTAATATTGGCGGCACCTTTAATTTCGGTGAGTGAAATATATGCAGATACATATAGATTTTTATCTTGAGCAAAATGACTTTTACGGTTCATAACCAAATGATGTGGTTATATAGTACTCTCCAGTAACTTCACACTGAGGCTTTTTGCGTGTGTTATGACTGATTAGACCTTCGCCAGGACCCAGAAAACGTCTGTCTGCTCCATGCAGTGATTGTAGAGGTCACAATAATCGTATAAGTGCAGCAGTCAGAGGCCCTCACCGCCCATCCTCTCGAAATCCCAACGAAAAAGGGAAGGCAGTCCGCGGCCGGGAAAAGAAAGATCAACAAATGAAAGGAAAGGAGGAGAAGGTAAGCTCGCAAATAACTTAATGAGTTCTTGAGACTTGGATTCTTGCTTAATGTTGAGAATCTGACAAAATTAGATGCCTGTAAGATGTTTCTTCTCTCCAAGTCAGTGCGCAGATATGAATCTTGCTTTGTAAGGTATCTTTGCTTTACGGACGGTATTGATGACTGGAGGGTATAAAATGGATTAATTTAAAAAGTCAATAAAAAACTATCTGGTAGAACTTCCGTAAGACTAGAAGTTAGTTGTCTCTTTTGTAAATGTGGGCTTGTATACTACAGTGTGGAGATAGTTGTTTAAAATTAGAGCTGTGAGTTGCTGAAACCAAGCCTGATGGAGCGAGCTCGTTGTGGGTTCTTGTATTGCTTTTGCATATTTTAGTCTAAGACTGACTCACCTGTTCCAAAGCATGTACTAGAAAACATGTTTTCAGGAATTACTTGATTTTGAAAGGTAGTGGATTTTTTTGTTTTTTTTTTTTTTAAATCTAGTAATAGCTCCAGCGTCTTTTCAGCTTAAAACAAAGACCCAATACAGTTAATGAGGGAGAACTATCTATGATGTAGTCTTTGTAATCAGTGAATATTTTAATTCTTGCCTGTGCCGTAGTTTTCATAGATTTAGTTGATGACCAAAATAAGAGATCATACTGAAGGTTCTAAATTCTGTGTCGTAGTCTTCCAAAATTTGAATAAATCAAATACCGGTGTTAAACAGGGGTTTTGTTAGCGCCTTTGACTTTTTGATGTGATAAGGTGTGGAAATAGTATGCCTGTGGATATAGTATGAACTACCCAGGTGTAAATGGGCACCTATGTAAAACTACTGCTTTTAGTTACTAGGAGCTAAATCATGTTCTTTGTGTGATAATCCTTGGTCACTAAGGATATACACACACAGAGATGGGATAGGGGAACTGTTTTTTTAGAGTCCTTTCAGCTGTGTCTTCCTTACTTGCAATCTACTGCAGAGCTACTCTGCTGTTCCAGTCCATGCTTCTGTTTTTTGTCTTTTTCGTCTTTTGTGGTCTTCCCACAGATCACCTGTGCTCATCCTGTGGATGGAAGCCCCTCCCCCCCCCTTTTTTTTTGTCCCATATACCAATGTGTATTAGCGATTTAGAGTGGTGCATTCTAATCCAGTTTCCCACAGAATGTTCCCTACCCACGTGGTCACCTTGGGTAGTTCTCGATTCCTCAGGAAGCAGAGGAGAACACCACTAGGCTGGGATAGGTGTATGTAGCTTTGATTACCTACTGAAGCAAAGAAACTGCATCAGTGCAATATGCTGGCTTTGGGGAGAAGGAAATAGGACCAAGGCAGTGTAGAAGCATGGTAAACTGCACAGATACTGCAATGCAACAGTAATACAGATGCCTCATAATTCTGGTGCTGTTTTGAATTGCCTTCTTCTAGAAACTTAATGCTATTGTGGACCTGATGTACAAATCTATCAGTAACGTAGCTGTTGCTATGTATTGACACTGCTGTGTCTTTCTCATGTAGAACAAATCCACATCTGAGATTTCAGAATCTGAACCAAAGAAATTTGATGGTACTGGGTATGATAAAGATTTAGTAGAAGCTTTGGAAAGAGATATAATTTCTCAAAATCCCAATATTCGATGGTAAGTTTGAATACTGTTAGGTTTTTTTTTGAGTTGTTGCTCCTTTTTACTCTCATACAATCTGACAAAAATCACATATTTTATTACATACCTACCTATAAATATATCTACAGTTTTTACTTTACTCATTAAATAGGCAACTGAACTTGTGTAGCTGAATTTTCTTAGAACTTTGGTCCCCGCCATCGTCCCAGCCGTACAAAGCTTCTCATACTTGTCCAAAAGAATCCTGAAGCCAGTTAATGAAATGCTCTTTTGCTGCATATCAAACTACTGTCTCCCAGTGTCTCTTTGGCACACAAGTATCAAAAACCAAATGAAAGAGAAGTTATGGCAGTATAGGATCCCTTTGAATTGGTTCTGGATGTGCTGTGACCATCAGTATAAGATACAACCACATGTCAGTGCCTTTACGTAAATGTGTTAAGTATTAAACCTTACACAAAGGTGGTTTTGTGTTTAGAACGTTACTGAGCTTAGGTGGTTTTGTGGAGATTAAATGAGCAAAAAATCTCTGGCAAATGAAGAAGGCTTAAAAAACCACTCTCAAATTTGTATGCACATCTGGCATGTATTTCGGTTTAATATGAAATATACTGTTCAGTTTTTGTACTGAGACTTGAAACTAATTCTTCAACGAGGTACGTTTTGTAACCGGAATATTATTTGACGTGTGCTGGTAAGTGGAATGCCCTTAGAGTTCCCCTCGAGAAAATGAGACCAGCATATAGAGTTTCTAAGTGTATTAAATCTTACAACTTTGGGAAAATGAATTCTACAAATTTTTCTTAATTCAACTCTGTTTACTGACCTTCAGTAGATTGTTCTCTTAATGATGAAAGATGCTATTTGAGTTTCTGGAGTAACGACTTCTGAGCATAGCAGAAAGCATCAACTATGGTTAGCGTAAGTTTACCTCAACTTGCCATATCCTGCTTATTCTCCTTCTGTGAATAAGAGCAGTGATGCTTTAATGAAACAATTAATATGTGATGTTTCCTCCTCCCCACCCCCAACACGCACCTGCTTTTGGTGGAGTCTACCAATTGGATGTCAACCATAGTTGTAGGCTTGTCCCACTAGAACTTAAACACACCCACCTCGTTAATCTAAACTGCAAAATAGCCATTACGTAACAGTGCATTTGGTTGCATATTGAATCGAGGTGTGAACTGATTCTTTTGCAGCCTGTTTTAATCTGTCAAACAACTTTTTCTTTTTTTCTTGTCAGGGATGATATTGCTGACCTAGTAGAAGCCAAAAAGCTGCTCAAAGAAGCTGTAGTTTTACCAATGTGGATGCCAGAATTTTTTAAGGGAATTAGAAGACCGTGGAAGGTATGAACAATCTAATCTTGTGATCATAAATAGGATTCTGAGATTGGCTCTTGGAGGAACAAGAAATTACAAGTGTTCCATGGATTGTATAAATTAAAAAAATTACAGCAGGTTGTAGTAACAAAGCTATTAGCTAAAATAAATACACTATCTTCAGCTACGTTATTGGTATTGCTTCTAGAGAGCAGTAGTACTTAATTACTTAGCTTTGAGTACCTTTTAAAGCAAAAGTTTACATCTAGTATTCTAACAGTATGCTATAAACAAACTGTGAAGTTATCTCTGTTTGGATTCCTGTCCTAAGAGTGGGACCCTCTTCTTTTAACAGGGTGTGCTGATGGTTGGTCCTCCTGGTACTGGAAAGACCCTCCTGGCAAAAGCTGTAGCTACAGAATGCAAGACTACTTTCTTCAATGTTTCTTCTTCCACACTGACCTCAAAATACAGAGGCGAATCTGAGAAACTTGTTCGTCTACTGTTTGAAATGGTGATGGAACTTTCTTAAAGTAGAATTACTTCTGGAATAGTGAAACCTTGCAAACTGTAGGATCTATAGCAAACATAAAAAAGCTCTCCAGGCTGCAAACACTTCAGGACTTCTGATTTGGCCATGTACATCAAACATCTGTTTTGTTAGTAAATAGTTCTTTCAAAACTGAAAAAAGGGTCAACTTTATTTTCAGGGTGGGTTTGTTATATTACAGATGGCTTGCTGTAAGCTGACAAATGCTATAGAATATGCTTGCAGGTAAATCTTCATATAGGGATCTCGCCCAGAAAATGATTAGCTTCTGCTTTGGCTGTGCATGTCATATAAACAGACTTCCGGATGGTATTGAGTGCTTAGTTGGCTTCAGAGCACGTAACACTTTGAATTGACTCAGGGCAGGTAGTTGTTTTTTTTCTTTTTCTGTGTGTGTGTTACTGGGTTCACATGCAGTATTTGTTAGGGTGTCCAGTACTGAAAGGTGGGTGGGGGAGCGGAGTTGCAAATACAGCAGTCAGAAAAGTCAGGAAACTCAGGATTGGTTTTTACAATATGGTTTGACTGCATTAAATGAGTTTAGAATGTACGAGTAATATCATGCCTATCAATGAAAACTGCATGTACACAAGGAGCGAATCACAGTTGCTTTAGGACAGAAACTTTTATTATAGCAGACCTTTTTCTCTTTGACCTCCTTCATGTTTCAGAATGATTAGGGTTACTTTGCAGTTGACCAGTTACTTCAGAAACTGATAGTGATTTTCTTCTTGTAGTTTCTATCCTTCAGTCATACGGTATCCTAGCTTAGCATTGGTCTTAACTTTAACTGAGTTCTTACCCAAACGTTCTGTGATGGGTTTCACAAAATCATACGTGTAAAAGCAGTCGTACACAGTAGAAATAACCTTATTAAATATTTGCCATTGGTTATAGGACTTTGCCAAAACACTATTCTGCTCAAGCGTTACTAACTAATTTAGAGGTGCTCTATATTTGTATAAAATGATCAAAGAGGGGGAAAGTTAGGTATTGTTTGATACTTATGGGCCGATTCATTGGGATAAATGTGTCATTAGTTAGCTCAGTTTAAGTGCAACTAGCCTGCCATTTCTGTTTCTGCTTTATCTTCTGCTTTCTTTAGGCTCGATTTTATGCCCCAACAACTATATTTATTGATGAGATAGACTCTATCTGTAGTCGCAGGGGAACTTCAGAGGAGCATGAAGCTAGCAGGCGTGTGAAAGCAGAACTGCTGGTTCAAATGGATGGTAAGTAACCTGATAACTGGGAAGTTCTGGATTGGAGGAAACTTGAGGAAGGAAGAGAAGATCCAAATTTCATTCATTTTTTAGATGCAGTTCCTTTGAAAGTTTTACTTTAAATTGGGGTAAAAACATATAAATGCACTATTTTAACTGCCAGTGTGGAGGGGAAAAAAATACCAATTATTTAAGTGTCTCTCTGCATCCGAGCCATAACCATATTTTACTCACCTAGAATAATGAAGATTCAGTGGAGAATGCAAGATTTCAAAACTACAGGAGAAAAGAGTATTAGTTGTCCATGTACAGCTGTAGCAGTAAAGACGGCTGCTTCTTCTCCCCTTCTCCCCAAATCTTTCTTTGGCATATCACCTACTTCTTACTTGATTTTGGAGAATTGATTCAAAACAACTGTGACCTGTAGCAATTTAAACTTAAAAGGCAATCATTGTGCTTAACTTCTCCGGGATCTTTTCTTTTTCCCTAAAGATATAAATGAAAAAGAAATACAGAAGTAGCTATGGGAGTTTTCTCTTTAAAATACTGAGTGAACTTATAACAATTCGCTTAATATTTAGCGAAACAACAAAGTTTAGAAGTAGGTAACATTGTGCACAGATGAAACCAGTAGTCTTACAGAGGAGTTGTTTTAATACCCTTTTAGTGAGAGGGGAGAAGGAAAGGACCAACTGAAAAGTGCTAATCTATGGAGTAATTTGTGATAGAATTCCATAAGTCAGAAGATTTGTGTATTTATTTTTGGTTCTCTGATGTCGTTACCCCTTTATGTTTGACTTTGAATAGCAGCAGAGCTGTAATACTGTTCTCATAACTCAAGTATGTGCCTAAGCTAATTTTATTAGTAACAACTATTTGAAGTCCTTTTACTTGAACGCTCATAAGTGGTATTTTACATGCAAATTTTTGGGCAGATTAGGTACAAAGGGTATTCCACAGCCCAATCCTATGACTGTAAGCAAATATAGTAAATGCAGAGGCTAGCAAGCTTAATGAAAGGCAACTCTTTCATATAGCAGTAGTTTCACAGTGCTTTAGAGACTGAGGTATTTTTTTCTGCCCATAACAAGTTACAATTCAATGCACCAAATCTGAACATTCACTCCAACAGCAGTTTGTAAGAATCTACCTGAGAATGTTAAACATTTGGCCTGACTTCAGAAGTAAAGAACTTTGAGAGGAGTAGTGCCATTTTTGCATGGCTATTGATAAAAACTATGTGCTAGGGTGGAGGGGAAGGTGGTTGTTTCGTGGTCTGTTCTGCTGTTATAGGACATTAGCGTGAAATTCAAAACAGTGTTGTGGCAGAAATGTAAACAACCCTGCTGTAAAAGTGTTCCAGCTATAAAAGAGAGGAACTTCCTCACTTTGTGCATCCTATGCCAATGCTCCTAATTAAACTGATTCTCAATTTTTGCTTGCTAGTTGCCACGTGTAGGGTAAACTAAC